TCTATATTTGAGCATTGGACCCCGATCTTCTTACGAAAAATATAATATTATTTTTTAATTTTTGTTACCAGGATTATTTAAGGATTTCATTTTTAAATATTGGTTATTAATAAAATAAGTTGACAATACAAATTTGTATTTTCGTTTCCGTATATTTGATAATATACAACCATTAATTTAGATAAGATAAAATATAACTAATTATCTAGATAGTTATTTGATTTCTTCTCTGATATGCTTCAGCGTTAATTTTTTCTAAATTCCGAAAGCGCAGCTACCTATTTCTAAATGCATCTCTAAATTGCAATAAGTATTTATATGATTTATCACTCTTTCATCGAGACTCGCAGTTGCGTATATTGTATTCTAGTGTATTGTACGACTGTACACTGATATGCCAATACAATGTTTGTACATTTTCAAAAAAAAAACTTATAAAATTATGAACTATACATAATATATGTCCTACAAGATTTCTTTTTGTGGTTCTTTTTGTGTTGAATTCATTTATACAACTGATCAGTTTTTTAAGACAAAAGTGTAGTTTTCTAATAAATGATTCATTTAATTCGAGAAATAAAATTTATCCTTTCAATTTTTTGTATTCTATCAGAAATAAAATATACAATACCAAAGTATCCAGAGAATTGTTCCCTAATATAAATGTTTTTTAAAAATATTATCAGTATTACCAGTATCAACTACATCGGTCGAAAGAAGTTGTTCTACTCTAAGTTTATTCACTCTAAAATGAATAAAACTTTATTAGTGGAACTCTACGAATGAGACAAGACTAAATGGTTTAGCGCTAATGAATATACACAGAGACATACATATTGATCCTGAAGTAATAATTAATGTTTGCTTCAAAAAAAGAACGACGCTTGACTTTTAACTATAAACAAATGTTTAATTATTAAGTTTTTTTATCATTATAAAATATAAGTAAATTGGAAATAAATAAAAATAATATTCAGTGTTGAAATGTTTTTGATTTAAAAAAAAAAAAAAAAAAACAAAAGTTTAAATTGAGGACAAGAATTAAAAAAAATAATATTATAATATCACTGGTGGTATAACGAGGAAATACTATAATAAAATATGATACTATAAATATTATTTATAATGTAAATAATATTTTTATATTCATTGTTCTTAAATATGATTACATAAACCAACTTATTTTATTTTAAAAAGCTGGTAGTACCTTAGTCATAAAATATTGTAATCCTCCAAAAAAAAAAACTTGGCTACCGACACTGATCGTACAGTATAAACTGTAATAAGTTTTTAATCTTCATACATTTTAACAGTAAGCCCATGATAAAATATGCATATTTAAGTAATAATATTTGTTTGGATTGAAAAATAAATATTGCAAATTACGGCTTATTAAATTTTAAGTATTATAAAGAAAATATCTTTAAATTTGTAATTCCAAATGGAACTTGTGTGGAAATTTTATGAACATTATATAAAAATAATCAATTTATTTTTCTGCAACTGAAATGTATTAACAAGAAATAATTGTACATGGAGTACCTATATACCTATTTCAAAATAATAAAATAAAAATATACCCATAACATATTTTACATAAAATAGTACACAAATAGTTATTAATTTTTTTTTTTTTTTAAAGCATGAGTAGGCAGTAAAAATAAACGGTACCTATTTTAGAATAATATACAAAGTAATAATGAACATAAAAATAATTTATGTTATAATTGTATAATTGTATTATTACTGTATTAAGAATTAATATTATTTCCTGTAGTTGCATTCAAATATATATGTTGTACATTTCTATATTTACTACAAATTCATTTTTATTTTTTTCATTCATAGCTAGTAATTAAACGACACAATTATGTTAGTTATGTTTCTTCCTCAGATTAAATGTTAACACGAGAAACTTGCACATGCATTAATTTAATTTATAATCTTGATTTTGAAGTTTCAACACTTCTAGGTATGCCAATTTAAAATCAATTAAACTTTAAAACAAGACGATAAATGTAATAATATTAAAAACATATAGATTATAAGTACGTGGAGATATATGAGTTGATTATCGGAGGAGCTTTGTAGAAAACATTTAAGTTTCATTGTTGTAATTGTACTTTTACTCATAACTCGAGAAAGGGAAGCGCGGTAATCAAATCAAACGTCTATAAAATCTATGAAACTACTTGGACGTTTTAAAGAAGTTACTTTATTATTACTTATAGAAATACTATGATGGTTTCTGATATATTAATCAATTAAATGCACCATTGAATATTATATTCATTCTCAATTTAGCAAAAAATTATACAGTACAATAACACTTTATAATTTGTTGTTATATAATGTTTTCTTTATTAAACATTAAAAATTATAAGGAATATAATATATTATCTTAATATTCTTTTTCTTAAAAAGTAGAAATTAAATTTATTTTTTGTGCATAACATTGTTGCAGATGTTACAGTAAAATATTTGTATAATACACACATACTCGTACTGTTTATATACATATAAATATATAAGTATTACTACACGTATATATACTTAATACACACGAATTTTTTTTTTTTAATTTTTAATTACACATATGACTAAGATATAACTAAAGGTATAACTTAATCTATATCACTAGTAGGTAACACTGATAAATATGTCTATAGATATATATATGTGATCGTGTTACGATAGTGGCATAAATGAAAAGTACTTGAGTGAGGTATCCGGCGTGACGTTTCGGACAACATTTTATGAACCCTAACAATAGCCGATATGACATATCCACATATACAACATTATTTTTTAGTTTTTTTGGTATTAAAAATATATAAATACATGATTACAAGAAATTAGTGACAAAACAGAAAACCACAGCTAATGTATGTAAAATGATTAAGTAATTAAAATATTTTTTAAATATTTTATTTATTGATTTTCTTTTTTTATGTTTTATATAAAATATAACAAAGTTTAAAACATATTATTGTGTACTTATTGTATAGATCATTGCTACGACACCGCTACACATTAAACATAAATCTTAAGTACGAATGCACCTAAAAAACCTAAATTATAATTGGTGGAGGTATTATTATTGTATACTCACTTAGGGTGAAACATATTCTTATTGGTATAAAATAGGTACACGCATGATATTTTACTTACACAGATCTACAGTTATGTAGTTATTAGTTTCATATGTCAGGGAACACGTGTTATTTTATAACACTTTGTGTCATCAAATATCATTCAATAATTGTTAATTGTCATGGTTTTTATGTAGTCATCTATTACGTCGGACGAGTTTTAATCAAATGGTTATTTAATCAAGCATATTTTATCCTTACATTTAATGTTACCAAATGCGAACCAAATTTTATATGCTTATCGATAGCGAACCAACATTGATCCACTGCAGTTAACATGAATAAATGCAAACGACCTAATCGTGCACGGAAGTGAAAATCCATCTCGGAGTTCTACGGGAGATATGCATTTCGAGGGCTCGTCGGACGGAGAAAAACCAATGTCGAATAGTCATAACTGGGTATTGAATGAGGGATGTGCAGTGTTATTTTTTACGAAAAGTTCACCAAGGATTTGGCACATCGTCGTCAGTATAAGTGAAGGAGGGAGCATAGTTCGTACATACATACATATATATATAAGAAAAGATTCGTCTGGTAATACGCAACTATAATAATAATAACAATAATAGCAAAAGTAATAATATTATATAAAGCGTTTACGCGCTCGCGTCGGTTTACCGCGGTGATGTCAACCGGCGCTCGCGCTCGCGAAAAATACCGAACACCCCTCTGAATGGCACTATAAGGGGATGGCGGCGAGGTGGACTGCGGTGCGATGGACGTGGCTGCGCGGAGAGCGCGCGCGCGCGAGGCCAATGGCGCGATGTGAACGCGCGTCCACCGGGCGGCGAGGGAAAGGGTGTCGGCCGGGCACGCCCCGCCCACCCCCGGGGGCCGCGAAGCGGCCGCAGCCGCCACGGCCGTTAGCGCCCCTTTAACGGCGGTGGTGGTGGTGCGCCGCCAGAAGGGGGTGGGTTATTCGCACTTTTCTACGCGGCGGCCAGTTATTGAATTACGCTGGGCCATCATTTGATTTGGAACCGACGACACCGTCGTATATACCGCCGCGCGCGCGCCACCGTAATCATCATCGTCGTCGTCGTCGTCGTCGCCGTCCTCTCCTATCCACCGCCGCCACCGCCGCCACCGACGCCGCCGTCGTCGTGCACACGTTATATGTGACTCTTCAAAGTATATAATAACTATAACAATAATAATAATAATAGTAATAATAATAATAATTATAATAATATTGAACAGTGTATTGTCGTTCGCGTATTATACATCGTGGCGGTTTCCTTATTATCGCGTGTTTTGTATTTTTCACCCTCGTTTCCGTCCCGCTCCTGAGCGTCTTCTCCGCGAATCCATCACTCGCGGCCGCTCGGCGCGCGCGGGACATTCTTTAGTGGACCACATCGCACCACCGTATTGTCGACCTGCCGCGTCTGGTCAGTGCGCGAGACACGTGCCATACTCTCTATCGTCTGTATAATATTGTACACACACACACACACACACACGTGCGTATACGTAACCCACATACACAAAAATACACACGAACACACGTACACGTTCGCACGTATACGTAAGTCGACAGTTACAAGGAAGTGTACATGTATCGGCTAAACATAGTATAGGTCCGATTAAATCTTTTCGGTAGCTCGCGAAGTCTCGGCGGTTAGGCGATAATACATTCGATAATTTTACACGACCGCCGGACAGGGATTTCGTCGGAGGATCGGATTAGCGAAATCCAGTTGATCGTGACACAACGCGACCGGGACGCGTGTTAGTGCGCGCGCACGTGTTTACACGTTCAGGTCGACACCGGGATCACGCCGCACGTGGCCACCGTCCGATGAGATAGCGGCGCGAGATAACACACACCGCGTGCAGCCCAACATGGACTACTCGTACTTGAACCAAGCCAACTTCGACGGTTTGACCGGCACTACGGCCGCGTCCAACATGGACCACGCGGCCATGGGATACGGTGACCTGACCGCTTGCGGCCAGATGACGCATGCCGCGTACCGGTTCGGTCCCACCGCGTCCATGGCCGCCCGATCCTACAACACGGCCATGGGCCATCACCTGTCGGCCGCGGCAGCCGCCGCGGCCGCCGCGTCCGGAAACGGCCACAATGGTACGACCTCCACGTCCGCTTCGGCTGCCGCAGCTGCAGCCGCAGCCGCCCGCGGACACCACCACGGCCATCATCAGGACCATCACCCGGGCCGACCGACCATGTTTTCGACCACGATGAACCTACCAGGTAAGTTGATTTCACATTTTTGAACGACCGGCACCGTTTCGCCATCATAATACCGAGTCCGGTCTTTTTTTTTTGTTCCTGTTATTAAAAACTGTTCGTCCGTTCGTGTTGACCGTCAGGTCAATTTGAGATTATGTTTTGTATTATTCGCATGTGTAGACCCGACACTATAATGTACATATGTGTCGTATTATGTCTTAATATTAGAGCCGAAAATGTCCTTTTTCGAGACGGTTCAATATATATTATATGTTGCGAAAGAATTAAGCAATCACAAAAGAATACTGTTATATAAATTTCTGTACGATATTTTGACTGAAAACATTTTTAAAATCCCTTTTAAAAGTTGAATATTATGTGTATGAACTTTGAATAAAATAGGTAAAAATGAGAACTTATAATGTATTGTACTATTGTAAAATTAATTATAAAACATTTATGATTCTTACACATTCACAATAATTTTATTATAAGATTTTCATATCTAAAAAATATCAACAATTACACTTTCAAGTATCAGTGAAAATTAACTCTTCATTATATGAAATTTTTTCTTATGTTTTTAAATCGATATTTCTTTTTTATCCATACATGAAAGTGCCACCGATTTCTTGTCACAGGTCGAAATTATACAAATAGTCTGCATTTTATTTACTGTACTAAATAGTTCAATAAATAAACATAATTATAGATTTGATGTAAAAATAAATTCCAAATAAATCGAAAACATATAAATTATATATAAAACACTAGCTTAATTACCCGGCTTCGAACGGACCATTCTTGGCCGTGACATAAGTTTTATTACTTTACACTATTTAAAGCCAAGTTCGATATAACTATTGGTGGTTATAAAACAAATAAAATGAAAGTTCAAATGAATCAATATAGTAATTTTGGTGATATCTTTGAATTACCGTATTTGCTGGTTCCAATATTTTTTTAAAATCCCTTTTTATTGCACGTTTTGTATATTGGAGAGACCACCATGTCAAATTTCAAGTTCATATAGTTTTGAGATGTAGGGATGATCAATAAACGAGTTATACCTGACGTTGTCCGTTGAGAAAATTTTGAGTTGAATTGTTCAATTCTTTTTGGGTGTTACCGTTGAACCTATATCTTCTTATTTTGGATTATTATTTTTTTATTTATTCATTTTATTGAGAAAAGTCTGACAGTTCGAGGTTCCAAATAAATGTTATTTATTAAAGTGGATTATACAATATTTTTTTGTTTTTCCTTTTGTGGTGTGTACACAATTTGACACGTGAGTAAGCCACACACAGTTATCCATGTGAGAAGCATGAATTTTCAAAATTCAGTCCATACACTTGTTTTAATTGTCCTTGTAATTTGTTAATGATCATTGAAAAAGTGAGTCGCACTGGAAACTGCAAAAGTTTGAATTCCAATGGCTTATCTGTTGGAGTCATTGGGATGCGTGGTAATAGTACATGTTCACCTTTAAATTTTCCGTTTAAAATTATGACTTCGATTATGTTGTTATACAGTTTAATAATTTACATAATTAAATTATTAAAATCAACATATTAAACAAATCAAATATTTCCTTGGTAACAAAAAATTGAAAAATGTATGCATCCAGTCCAAAACAGTGTCGACCCTTAAATATGCGATTTTCGAAAAATCCTTTTTTATTGCACGGTGAAAATATGAGAAGAACCTATATTCCAAATTTCAAGTCCGTACGTTGCGTAGTTTTTGAGATACAGCGATCAGTCAGTCAGTGGTATTTGGATTTTATATGTATAGATTAATACTATTGATGTTTTCATTTCTGTACTCAAAAAAGTAATACAAAAATGAACTGTTGTTAAATTTCTTTTTTATCGAAGACAATGTTTTCATAACATTTTTCATTCTTAAATTGACTCATTTCATTTTTGTTACTTATAAATATACATATTTTTAATCGTAAAAATATGTCTAAAATTATATTATATCATGTATACAAATACCCATTCAAATTTGAAATTTAAATGTATTTTTTTTTTAAAAATTAGTTAAATTAGTAAAATTATAAATGTTATGTTTTATTTCAAAATGTATTTATTTTTTTATATATTATCAATGTTTTTTTTTTTTATAATTTAATTTAATTTATAATTTCGACACGATCATATTTAACAAATATTATAAGTATAACTTATACAAACATCCTGATTTATAAGCGTATTTTATAAGTTAACTATATAGTTATAGTGATTGATATACTACTCGTATTATACAATACAATGTATATATAACTTATACTTAATTTAAAACCAAGAAAATATTTTATTAAAGACAACCACTAATGATTTAGGTTAATAAATGTTATGATACGAGTATATACTTTATACATGATCATACTCATGATTACATTTTGTTATGGATAGAAAGCCATAATTTTTTTGAGTTAATAAATAATCAATAATTAAATTATTAACTTATTCAAGTTTAATAGTAAGTAGTTAAGTAAATAAATAATTGTATTTTTGTAAATAACAACTAAAAAATTATAAGCAATATAATATAAGTATTGTAAAACGAAATAGTAAAAATCATATCAGCAAAGTTTAATTTAAATAACTTTTATTTACAACCCTTCGAAAAGCATGTAGTTTACTTTAGGTTATTTGCTTATCACTGTATATGCGTTTCGGCTTCAAAAAATATTTTTATTTTGAAATATAACACAATCGTATTATTTCTGAAAATGAATTCAAGTGGATATTTAATATTTTATTATATTTTTATTTTTATTTTTCGCTGGTTGTGTATACGAAATCTTGGTTAAAATTGTTTTATTTAAATGTCTTTTAAATTTCATGTCTGTATGTCTGTATTTTTTCTTAATGTTTGTTAGAATTGGTACATAATATTTCATATTACTTTATTCGCTTGACTTCCTTTTATATATACTACATGAGATTTTACTTTTATTTTTTTATTGCTGTGTACAATATACTGTACGGACATATTTTTAGTTTTGATTTATGCGATCTTATGCGATCTTATTACAAATAAAAGCATTTAAAAATTTATAAAATAAATTAAATAAATAATCATGTCGGAAAAAATAATTGTATTGAAAAATGATTCATTACAAGTGTATTATATTTATACTCATAAGTAGAGTGCAGATTTTTATGCAATCGCATATTTTTTCCTTTCGTTATTTTTGGATTTTTGTCAGTTATCTCCACGAATCATCATAATTTGAAGCTAATGGTGAAAATTTTTTTTTGCATGTTTCGGCATATTTAGAAGTTATTGCATATTTTTACATATTTTGGCAAAATTCAAAATGTATTGCATATTGAAGTGAAAATTTAAAAAAAAATGTATAAAATAATATTTTGTCAAGTAGAAAAATTAAAAATAAATTTCATAGTCACTAAATAATAATTTATATATATATATATATATATATATGTTTAGTTATAAAATAAATAATCGATTACGACGTAAACTTAATCGCTCTTGCTGTGTCAGTCGATTATCGATATACCACTTGCTTCAAATATGCACCAATAACTTCGGTTGATATCGTGGGTTCGTTTTCAGTCTTTAAAAATATGTAAATCGATAAACGATACTACTTGACAGAAGATAAACTTGAAATGCATATGATTATTTATTTTAATAATAAATAAAATTTTAAAAATAAATTAAGTTCAGAAAATTCCCTAAATTTTTTTGTATTAAGTATTTAATTAATTAATTTTTATAAGTTTAATTATAAATTTTAAATAAATAAAAAATTCTTGCATATTTTTTGCATATTTTCATAATTTTGACTACATATTTTTTACATATTTTCATGATTTTGACTGCATATTTTTTGCATATTTTCATGGTTTTTACTGCATATTATATGGCATATTTCGATACTTTTAAGTGCATAAAAATCCGCGCTCTACTCATAAGTTTTTGAAATTATAGATTTGTATAAAATCAAAATTAACACTCAATAGAAAAATAACTATATTTAATAACATTATTTTTTTATCAACAATTTGAAATCATAGTATTGTCTAACTAATTTCGATGAAAAAAACAAAAGTATACTTTTTAGAAAGGTAGATAGTAAAATGTTTAAGTTAATCATTTTTCAACCTAAAAAGTTAATAGTTATTTTATTTATTTCGTATGGGTTAAGTTTCTCTAGGGAAATAGTTCTGACAGAATACATAAGTTATGATGTATTTCAGTTGAGGGAAGTTTTGACAAGGGGTCGGACATCGTGATAGACAAGTGTGAAGACAAACGACCGGTCCGAAAAGGGGGAACTATGAGAAATTGGCTTGTTAAGTACGTATGACAGCCTATACAAATAGATTTTTTTCCCTGGAAATATCTCTTTCAGTTTTAGAACCATGAAATTATTTGTATGAAACAGACGACTTAATATTTTTAATAAACAACTTAAATTTTATGATTCTTCTAAGAGATCTTGAGTGGAAAATTTCCTCAAATCATACAACATAGTTTTCTACAATTTTTTAGCTTTTATTTTAAAAATAATGATATCATTTTTTATCATGAAAAAAATTCGTATTGAATAATACACTTAGTCTTAAAAAACAATTCTAGTAAAATCTATAGATTAATAAAATCAAGCGTATTCAATGTATAAGAAAGATATTTAATCAATAATATCAGTAATTATTAATATGGTGTTTTAAATAAAATAATAAATAGATTTCTATGAACGTGTCAATACTCGATTCAATTATATTTATTGTTTTAATTATTTAATAAATAATGTGACATTAATATTGTAAAATGTAAAATAAATTCTTGGACTTTTAGGTAATAACTTCCCATTTGCTGTATTAAAAGCACCATAATGAATAATAATAACACCTAAGATAATTACACCAATGATCATAACTACTCTGCCGTTATAAATAATTTAACGTTCAGGCGGTCAAGTTAGGAATACGGCATTATTACAGAAACAAGACTAACCCAATTAAACACTACTCTGT